GACTTTTGCATACAGTGTCCGTTATGGGCCTATAAGTACTTTTAGAAAATGTAGCGACCCTTTTGAATTGAACTCATAGCTTCGTCGTGACGTACAATAAATTTTTGGCCATTTGTGGAAGAACGAGCACTTGCTTATTTGGAACGCTTGGATTGTCGGCGATCGAAGAATTGAGTGTGGCTTTTGCATATGGTGTCCATTTTGGGCCCATAAGTACTTTTCGAAAATGTAGCGTTCCTTTTGGATTGAACCTACCAATTTTCTCGCGTCGTATGAGTGATTTTGGGCATTTGTGGAAGAATAAGCACTTGCTTATTTGGAACGCTTGGATTGTCGGCGATTGAAGAGCTGAGTATGACTTTTGCATATGGAATCCGTTTTCGGCCCATAAGTACTTTTCAGAAATGTAGCGATCCTTTAGGACTGAGCCCACCCGTTTTCCTACGTCGAATGAATGATTTCGACCATTTGCAGAAAAACAAGCACTTACTTATTTGGAATGCTTGGATTGCCGGGGATCGAAGAACTGAGTGTGACTTCTGCATACGGTGTCCGTTTTGGGCCCCTAAGTACTTTTCGAAAATGTAACGATCCTCTTTGATTGAATCCACCCATTTCCGCGTGTCGTATGGGTGATTTCAGCCATTTGTGGAAGAACAAGCACTTGCTTATTTGGAATGCTTAGATTGTCGGCGATCGAAGTACTGAGTGTGACTTTTGCATACGGTGTCCGTTTTGGGCCCATAAGGACTTTTTGGAAATGTAGCGATCCTTTTGGATTGAACCCACCCTTTTCCTTGCAACGTATGAGGGATTTTTGTCATTTGTGGAACAACAAGCCCTTGCTTATTTGGAATGCTTAGACTGTCGGTGATCGAAGAGCTGAGTGTGACTTTTGCATACGGTGTCCGTTTTGGGCCCATAAGTACTTTTCGAAAATGTAGCGATCCTTTTGGATTAAACCCACCTATTTCTGCGGGTCGTATGAGTGATTTTGGCCATTTGTGGAGGAACAAGCACTTACTTATTTGGAACGCTTGGATTGTCGACGATCGAAGAACTGAGTATGACTTTTGCATACGGTGTCCCTTTTGGGCCCATAGGTACTTTTCGAAAATGTAGCGATCCTTTTGGACTGAACCCAACCTTTTCCTAGCGTTGTATGAGTGATTTCGACCATTTGTGGAGGAACAAGCACTTGCTTATTTGGAATGCTTGGATTGTCGGCAATCGAAGAACTGAGTATGACTTTTGCATATGGTGTCCGTTTTAGGCCCATAAGTACTTTTCGAAATGTAGCGAACCTTTTGGACTGACCCCACCCTTTTTCTCGCGTTGAACGAGTGATTTTGGCCATTTGTGGAAGAACAAGCACTTGCTTATTTGGAATGCTTGGATTGTCGGAGATCGAAGAACTGAGTGTGACTTTTGCAAACGGTGTCCGTTTTGGACCCATAAGTACTTTTTGAAAATGTACCGATCTTTTTGGTTTGAACCCACCCATTTCCTCGTGTCTTATGGATGATTTCGGCCATTTGTGGAAGAACAAGCACTTGCTTATTTGGAATGCTTGGATTGTCGGCGATCGAAGAACTGAGTGTGACTTTTGCATACTGTGTCCGCTTTGGGCCCATAAGTACTTTTCGAAAATGTAGCGATCCTTTTGGATTGAACCCACCCTTTTCCTTGCAACGTATGAGGGATTTTCGCCATTTTTGGAACAACAAGCCCTTGCTTATTTGGAATGCTTGGATTGTCGGCAATCGAAGAACTGAGCGTGACTTTTGCAAACGGTGCCCGTTTTGGGCCCATAAGTACGTTTCGAAAATGTAGCGGTCCTTTTGGATTGAACTCACCCTTTTCCTCACGTCGTATAAGAGATTTTGGCCATTTGTGTAAGAACATGAACTGACTTATTTGGAATGCTTGGATTGTCGGTGATTGAAGAACTGAGTGTGACTTTTGCATACGTTGTCCGTTTTGGGCCCATAAGTACTTTTCGAAAATGTAGCGGTCCTTTTGGATTGAACCCACCCATTTTCACGAGTCGTATGAGTGATTTTGGCCATTTGTGGGGAACAAGCACTTGCTTATTTGGAATGCTTGGATTATAGGCGATCGAAGAACTGAGTGTGACTTTTGCATACGGTGTTGGTTTTGGGCCCATAAGTACTTTTTAGAAATTTTGTTCCTTTTGGACTAAACCCACCCTTTTCCTCGTGTCGTATGAGTGATTTTGGCCATTTTTGGATGAACAAGCACATGCTTATTTGGAAAGCTTGGATTGTTGGCGATCGAAGAACTGTGTGTGACTTTTGCATACGGTGTCCGTTTTGGGCCCATAAGTACTTTTCGGAAATGTAGCGACCCTTTTGAATTGACCTCACAACTTTGTCGTGACGTATTACGGATATTGGCCATTTGTGTAAGAACAAGCACTTGCTTATTTGGAACGCTCGTCGAAGAACTGAGTGTGACTTTTGCATACGGTGTCCGATTTGGTCCCATAAGTACTCTTCGAGAATGTAGTGATCCTTTTAGACTCAACCCACCCTTTTCCTCATGTCATATGAATGATTTCAGCCATTTTCAGAAGAACAAGCACTTGCTTATTTGGAATGCTTGGATTGTCGGCGATCGAAGAACTGAGTGTGACTTTTGCATACGGTGTCCGTTTTGGGCCCATAAATACTTTTCGAAAATGTAGCGACCCTTTTGAATTGAACTCATAGCTTCACCGTGACGTATAATGGATTTTTGTCCATTTGTGAAAGAACAAGCACTTGCTTATTTGGAATGCTTGGATTGTCGGCGATCGAAGAACTGAGTGTGACTTTCGCATACAGTGTCCGTTTCGAGCCCATAAGTACTTTTCGGAAATGTAGCGACCCTTTTGAATTGAACTCACAACATCGCCATGATGTATTACGGATATTGGCCATTTGTGTAAGAACAAGCACTTGCTTATTTGGAACCCTTGCATTGTCGACGATCGAAGAACTGAGTTTGACTTTTGCATACGGTGTCCATTTTGGTCCGATAAGTACTTTTCAAAAATGTAGCGATTCTTTTCGACTGAACCCACCCTTTTCCTCATGTCATATGAGAGATTTTGGCCATTTGTGGAAGAACAAGTACTTGCTTATTTGGAATGCTTAGATTGTCGGCGATCAAAGGACTGCGTGTGACTTTTGTATACGGTGTCCGTTTTGGGCCCATAAGCACTTCTCGGAAATGTAGCGATCCTTTTGGATTGAACCCACCCGTTTCCTTGCAGCGTATGAGGGATTTTGGCCATTTGTGGAATAACAAGCACTTGCTTAATTGGAATGCTTGGATTGTCGACGATCGAAGAACTGAGTGTGACTTTCGCATACAGTGTCCGTTTCGGGCCCATAAGTACTTTTCGGAAATGTAGCGATCCTTTAGGATTGAACCTACCAATTTTCTCGTGTCATATGAGTGTTTTTGGCCATTTGTGGAAGAACAAGCACTTGCTTATTTGGAATGCTTGGATTGTCGACGATCGAAGAACTGAGTGTGACTTTTGCATACGGCGTCCGTTTTGGGCCCATAAGTACTTTTCGAAAATGTAGCGAACCTTTTGGACTAGACCCACCCTTTTTCTCGCATCAAATGAGTGATTTCAGCCATTTGTGGAAGAACAAGCACTTGCTTATTTGGAATGCTTGGATTGTCGGGGACCGAAGAACTGAGTGTGACTTTTGCATACGGTGTCCGTTTTGGACCCATAAGTACTTTTCGAAAATGTACCGATCTTTTTGGATTAAACCCACCCATTTCCTCATGTCGTATGGGTGATTTCGGCCATTTATGGAAGAACAAGCACTTGCTTATTTGTAATGCTTGGAT